ATAGCGGGAACAATATCTTTTTGGAGCATCTCGAGATAGCTGTCTGCAGTAACGTTATCATGAAAGAAGAACGGTCCAATGATGCCTCCAACTCAAATTCTAGCCCATACAGTGAGGCCTGGGGTATTCATTTCTTGAGTAATGATAACATAGGATTTTCTACAGTGTAATAAACGCAATTGTGTCCATTGACATGACCCCTCAACTTGAAAATGGCTTCATCGATCCAGATAATTCGATTAAACAAGGAAGAATCGTCAGCTAACAAGTTGAGGAAGATGTCGGCAAATTCACAACATCTGTCAGGATCGTCTTTGTTCAAAGCATGCAGCAACTGAGGACAATACAGCTTCAATCCCAGCTCTTTCATCATTCGTTGAAGGCTACTTTTAGGCAGATTCAGTTCCAAAGACGCTCTTCTCATTGAAGTTGCAGGACTTTCTTCAAAAGCAGCACGAACACGTTCTCTATTCTCCTCAGTACTAACAGATCTAGGACGATCAGATCAAGGTTTATCTTCAACGCTTCAGGTTTCGTCAAACTTTCGTACAAAACTCAAAATGTTCTTTGATGTTGGAGGAGTTCGATCGAAACGATTTTGAAATTGATATGCAACTTCAGCTGCATTTTGGTAAATGGCGTACCATTTCACAATTTCAATTTTTTCACGTAATGACAAATAAAAACTTTTACTCATGGTGAAGAAAATGTGAAAAAAGTTAGAGCTATGTAAACTACAGAAAATGTAAAGAGAACCAAAAAATTGTCTCCTAGATGCCTCTCCTCGCACATATAAGTACTACAAGAAAACAAACAATAATATGCGCCGTCTTTTTTTACATGTACTGTATTTGTATGCCCTTGGATCAATTACTACATCTAAATATCGTTCATACGCTCAATCTTTTACTTATCACACCTAGTATATGTGGTATAAATATCAGAGCTAACCGACAATCTGTAAGATAGAAATCGAAAAAAATACTATTTTTCCTTACTTTTGGGACACTCGGTATTTAGATGTTTCTTAAATAACTTTTTAACATATCTACGGACAGTGAACGCCTAAGCAACGACACAAAAAAATGTGTAATATTTTTGAAAATTTTCTTCTGTTTTCCAGTATTTCTCAGGAGAAAAAAGATTACTAGATCGAAAATGGGTAGACAAATCCGTGATATCGTATTCTATGTATCTCCACAAAATTTAACTTCGATTTATCTCAAGCTTTAAATAATTACTCTTGCATATATAATTTTTTTGTTGATCTGAATTCCGAATCGTTCTAGTAAGTAGCAACATTGCTAGTAGTTTTTTAAAGGATCAAGTTTCTACTCCAGAATCTTTAGTCGTTCGAATAGAGTAACATTTATAAACAAAAGAAAGGTAATATTTGGATTTAACTCGCCGAGTTACCCAAATTAATCTCAAATTTCGCTGTTTATTCTTTTGTGTGTGAACCATTATTTATCAGTGTCGCTCTGCATCAGTAAACACCACTGGTGCTACGGATCTCTCAAAAACCTGTTTTGCTCCCATATCTCTATTTGTATAAATACATCATTTTTGTTGCAATGCTGAGGATTCACAGTAGCATAAACATCTGCTCCCCTCTTAATATTTCGACGGACATTAATCAAAAGAAAATCCTTCATTATTTTTCGAAAATATTTTCAAAAGATTACACGTACTCAAATTTCAGCAAGAAATTCTTCAAATCTGAATAATATTAAACAGACTTTATCAATTGGTTAATCTGTTTTTCTTTTATTTTTTCCACTATTTTATGATAATTTATTCAAGTCCACTAGAGAATTAACTGTTATAACTGAATTGCTATAACAAAGAATATAAAGCAGTATAGTGTTTCGTTGAAGAAGTTTGGACGGCAATTTCTCAGACTTGTGCGAAGGATGCTCGTTCAGTGAACTCCTCTGTGCATGCCATTCGAACATGTTTAATAGTGGCTGGTGAATGTACAATAAAATTTTCAACAAAACTTTGCTGCTGTCGACAGCTCATACATGCTTGTTGGTGTGCAAAACGTACAGAGGCGGCGAGAGCTAGTGGTGGCTCACCAATGCCTTTCAACGAATAAATAGCTCGACAATTGGGTGCATCCGACAAAAATGTAATACACATGTGTAAGGCAACATCACTAAATGCTGGAATTTTGTATGTGTCCGAACCACGAGTAGCTAATGTTCCGAGTTTGACCCATTTGTATTGCTTGTCATCATCCCAAATTATCTCTTCCATAGTGAACAGTCGAAGACCTTGCATAAAAGCACCTTCTATTTGGCCAATATCGATTTGAGGTTTAGTGGTGTACCCACATCCTGCAATGTAATTATATTGTCGAAAGGGTTATTAGTTTGTTGAAAAGTCAATCTAAAAAAATTCAAATCAGCTTTATTTTGCAAAATCGATAGCAATAGTTACTTCAACAATGAGAAACCTTCTATGGAGGAGAAGCTTCTCTTATATGTAACCATATTTTTAGAAGGGTGAGATTTGTTTTTGGAACTAATCCTGTGAATAGAAATCTTTCAATACTTATTCACTAGAAATTATGGTACTCATCAATATTATAAGACATTGCTAATACTCTGAACGAATGCTGTCATCTATTTTCCACTATTCGCATGTTTTTTCGGTATCCGAACACAACTCAGAACATATAATCGACTTTTGTTTCATATCTTTATTCACTTAAATGGAACATTATTAAAAAGTCAACATGATAGTAATGAACCAATGGTAATTTTTTTATTTCAATTGTCGTACTAGTTGGCGCTGTTTCGTTAGACTTCTAATTTTTGATCCTTTGCATTTTTATATATTGTGTAAGAATCACTCTTGACAAATATCCTACAAAAAGTAATTTCATTTTATCGAGAAAACTTTCGGATTTACTCAATTTTATAATTTTAGTATGATATAGAAGAGAGTATTGATGAAAGAGCACAAAAGATAACGTATATATATATAAGAGTAATATCACTTAAAAGTTCTAGAGTACGAACAACAAAAAGTATTAAATACAGAGAGCCGGCCAAATCAGTAGAAACATTTGTTTTCAATCGATTCGTTTGATAATCTACCCTTTTATGAAAATAAATAGCTATGTGACTTCTTGCATTTAGTGATGATCTGAATATGAGATTAGATTTAATTAACATAACTATCAGACTGTAGAAGAAGAACGTTTGTCTATTTAAAATTACATAGCCAATTTTGTATTCTTGTTATCGTTAGCCGAACATGATACCTATTTGGCTTGAATGTGGCATGAATAATTAGAGGAGCTGAGGCTGAAAATTTCAATAAAAAAAAAGTCTTTGAGAATGATCCCATTTCGATATTATGCTTAAAGTTTACTATTTAAATCAAAATCACTGGCAAAAATACCTTACTATCCAAGTTTTGTACTTCAACTACGATTATAAAATCAAAATAAAGTTGTTTTATGAAAATGAATTCGAAATGGTGTATGGGAAATTTCTGTCTTTTTTCGATCAATAGATATGCATCTTCTCAAAAGATGTCTTCACAGAGCTAGTCCCTAGTGCATTCGATATATTGTCGTCATTTCGTGGACGTTAAATTCAAAAGATTTTCTATAGTGCGATGACTTGAATATTAATTCAAACGTCTCTAGTACACGTCCTAAAAGACGTTCTCATGCTTAAAGAAGGCTCTTGAAAATATCTATTGATCGAAAAGAGATATAGAAATCTTTGATATCATATTTCCAAGCAACGTGTCATGTATTTTGCACTAAATCGTTCGTGTCACTTTCGATCATTAATAACTAAAACATGAAATCCGTTCTAGAGTTTTATCTAGTCATCAATCTATAAATCTTGACTCAAATTTTTCTTCTACAGTCTAATAACATTATCCAGTAAATGTGATTTCATATATAAAAGGCTATTATTAAACACAAGTTATTCAACAACTCGACTGAAAACAGCTGCTCTACTGATTCGGTCTGAAACTAAGGTAGTTTTGATTGATATTTTTTTATGCTCTTCAAATTTTTAGCTTATGTATGTGTTCAACATTCTGAAATCATAAAGTAATTTTCCTAGAAAGCACTTGTGATAGACGCTGATTCAAAAATGAACATACCTTCAGAATATCGACACTTAATAAGTGCCAATCGCTTGTCAATATATCTAATTCGCCTTCTGCTACAGCTGCATCTTGAATGAAATAACTGAAATAGGCTCGATTTTTATTTAAATCTTCACTCAACGGTTCTGATATGACATAGAATCCATGTGGAGGGTGCAAAATTGATAGATCTCGTTTTCGATATGTGTTTAAACAACTTAATTCGTCAACAGTCTGTTGTCGTCGAATACATTCGCTTGATTGAAAAAGCTCATCTAAGATCTGAGCCACATGCCAATGTTCTAGTACTTGTCCAAAATGAGTCGAATCTCCTTTTTGGTATAAATTTAGACGGCAAACTATACGAGGATTGAGTGTAAGATATGCAGGAATGTGTTCAACAATTGTTTCACATGTAAAAATAGCCTGTGGATAGCCAAAGCCACGGAACGCTGAAGAAATTTAAGAAAGAGATCTGATTTCTACCCTTTCCTTTTTTGTCTTTTCAAAGGAACCTGTATTTGAGGACAAGTGTGTTTTACAAAGGCGTCCACGTACTTCAATATTATTAAACTGATATGTATTATCAATGTGAAGCATTGCTTTTTTAAAATAGGCATAGATTGATCAAATGAATAATCAGCATTGCTCCATAAACGTATAGCGAGTGCGGAGAAGAGATCCTTATTAGTAAAGTCAACTTTATAGTTAACCTTGAAGGGATGTCGCTGTTCAATAACACTAATATCAACGTCACGCTTCATATTGAGACGAGCTAGACGACTGAGTTTCAATGCAGCTACTGCAACGGCAACAGCTGGTATTACTCAATAAATAAATATAAAGTTGTTCTTCTAGAGGTAAATGGAAATGAATAAATCTCATACGTACGCTCTACTATCTTTTCCACCGAAACCACCGTCGATTCTTTTAATCAGACATTGTATATGTTTAGCATCTTTACCTATTGCTAATGGAGCTAGTTCTTGGATTTTACTAGGATCTTGTGTTGCTGAATATAAAGTTAACTCATCATCATTATCTGATGGTATGGTCATGGCCATGCAGTAGTTCGTTTCTAAATAAAAATGTTCTTGACCACCAATGAGTAGAGTTTCTTCTAATGTATATTCAGCTTCTGAAAGAGCTCTATTTGGATCGCCTTTTCTGATACATTGTTCGTTGTCTAAATAGTTCTCATATTGAATTGCATCATCGATTGTCATAATTGTCGGTGCTAAAATTCATAATCGATTTGTATTAAATGAGCTGCTATGTTAGCTGTTTGTTCTGAATCACAAATGACAAGATCAATAATTGCACCAACATATCGAACAATACATGAGGCGAATACTTCTTCATCGTGAACAATAATGCCTATCATGTTGCTACAAGGCACATCCGTGTGATTGGTAAAAGATACGAAGCCTGACAATCGTGGAGCAGTCTCAGTGTCTACACAATACGAATAGTGAATGGTCAATGATAAACAAAGTACGATCATTTTTACCAATATTCGTAATGCGAGCGTGTGGTTGAGTACTAAGTACAAATCCAGCATGAAGAGTGTTGGGCAATAATGGTGAATCGTTCATATATTTGGCTTCACCTGTCATCTGCACATAGGCTGATCCATGTAGCAACGCAACACTGACAACTCTGTGGATCAGAGACCGTTCATGTATTGTTTGTTGGCCATGAGATACAGATCGACGATAAATATACACAGCCGACATATGTTTTTGTTCGACTAATGTTTGCCACAGTTTCGAACAAACATATAGATAAAACTTAAAAAGAAATGATTGAACTAAAGTACGTCTAAAACGAAATTAATTGCTTAGTTAAAAAAAAAGATTAATCACAACAAATCATGTATGTAACCTATATTTGCATTGGCCACTTGGTGTGAATACATTAAATGGTAATTCGGCGAGAACTAGTTCACATGCTTTATTTGCTTTTGGTTTTCCCACCGTTGTCTGATAAACGGTTTCTGAGTCTGTTGTACCATAACTGACAATACCACTGGAATCATCTCGACGACGTGCTTGTTTATATGATCGAAGAAATGATTTACTCGATGATGATGGAATAGGAGTATGAACGGCAAAAAGTACTTTATCATGGGTCTTTGATATGCGACGATTAGGAAAAAAGAAATTGCGTAAAAGTAAGGGCCGCTCTGCATTGCTAACATATACACGACGAAATTCCAGTGAAGCATTGGCAGTTTGAAGTATTGAGTTTAGCTCAGAACTAAAAATTAACATATACAATCGAAATTTGACTTTTACTAAATTTAAATTAAAAAAGATTTCAAGTGCCTCAAAAATTCTGTGTAAATTAAGTGCATCACATGGAAACCCACGGTTAATATTTGATTTAGTTATAATCCATAGAATGTTGTGAAAAATAAATTTGAAATAAGAAAACATCTCTATTTCATTATAATGAAACCAAATAGGTTCGGATATGATTCATTGCTTGATATTTAATTCTATGCATTCGTGGCAACGTAGTCTTTTTAAACTGTAAGACAGTCAGTGCGTAAAAAATCTATAACATAGGTTCGATTTAGACATTTCTAAAGAGCTTCATGTCTTTTGTGCTCGACTACCCATAGCAATATTCACAAAGGAATAACTTTAGATTATTTTCATTGAACAACAAAAACAACTTTCATTACAAGTTTAGGCAAAAATCAAATGACCTACATTGGCGAAGCATTGACAATACTACCGCTGAAGGAAGCAACATTTTGTGTTTGCGGCGATGGGAAGTGTTTCAGTTGATCCATTAGCGCTTCACAAATACCACCACCACTGTTCACTTCGTTCTTTCCTTCATAAAATTTTGATTGTAAGCGTGTGGATGTAACATCAGCATTAATGCTAAATGAATTTGATATTCTTTTTAGTTGTTGTAATTCATCAATATGTGTTATTGAAATAATACGATGATGCTGCATCAGTTTGAATTTTGTTTCGATTTGAACAGCAGTATTTCCGAAGACGAGCTACGCTGCACTACCAGGACAAGAATGACGAAGAGAAAGTAATTCGCCGAGTGAAATCGAGTGATACCATTCGAGCATAGAAAGAATTCAAAAGATTTGTAAGAGATCATGCAAAATCTGTGAGTATTATTGATGAATAAATGATCATTACTAACGAGTAATAGATACCTTCAATATGAACCGACTGTGAAATATACTCCCATAGTTTATTAGAGAATTCAATTCGAAAAAATGACGATGAAACATTTTTACTCGAGTACGAATTGCATGTGTCGAATGTCATCGAGATTATTTTCGATGTTGATGATTTTTCCATTTAAACATAGTTATCAAGATCTCTTGCTAATGATTTAGCCGCATCTAGTATAGGTCGATAGCCGGTGCATTGGCATAGGTGTCCGTCAAATGTTTCCTCAATATTTTGCATTGTCAGTAATTCACTGTTGGCATCCATTGCTACAGTTTCATAGAAAGATATGACAATACCTGATTACAGAAGCCATATTATGTACCAAACAGTTCGACCAGACGAGATTGAACCAAATGAATATTTGACTTTTTCACTGAATCCAAACCTTCTCCGGCGATTACATGACATCCATCGACAGAACACAATGGTGCGAAACAGCTATTCACCGCGTAATGCTCCATATGATCAGAGCATCGATCAGTACAATGTGAAATGAGTACTGTGCACGCTTCACATCCACCTGCACCACAGCCCAACTTGGAACCAGTCAGATTTAACTCTATTTAAACAATGTACAACGCGAGAAAGAATTGCTAGAAATGTTTAGTTCATTTACAGTGTCTCATAACTTATCTATTGCTATACATGGCGTGTTCAACCGCATTTAAATAGAACTTACTATTTCTCAGGTACCACGAAATAGTCCAATCAGGTTCAATGTTTGATTCGATTATCTTAGCCCCGTTCACATAAAATAGCAGAGAGCTTGACCGATTTGTTACTAACTCTTTGATAGCCTTTTTCTGCAAAGTTTATTCAACATACTCCCATGTAAATGCACTTTTATCTCATTTCTTTCACGTAATTCAATGATAACAAATCATGATGTTTAACTTGAAAAGAAGAATAAGCCAAAAAAATGTTTATGCTGACTAGGTGAAGCTGATGTTGTCATTTGCCACTAGCAAACAGACAACTATTACTGAAGTATTACATTCATTTTAGTAAGAACGACAATCTAAATACAGAAATTCCACAAAGCTTTCTTGTTTTTTAGATAATTCAATCAAACAACGGGTTAGGCATAAAAATATTTATCTGCTATTTTCAATTTTTCAAATAGATTTTTTGACCAGTAATCTCTTCTACGAGTGTCTTCGAATAGGGTCTAGAATTGGGAACCATTTTTCAGCGACTGGTATCATTGCCTTTGGTTGATAAAATATTGAATGCACTGGCAAAGCCTTTCTGAGATTCGTATCGAAGACATTTTTGGGGAAAAAATTCACCAGATGGCCGACTTATAGCGTACAGAATCACCTCAATGATGTGGGTGTGGTTGTCGATTGTGAGATGTTAACTTTATTCTAACGCGGACTTCCACCCAAACCCACACCAGTGCAAGTGCCTTCGTATTTGTCACCGCATATGAGAGAGATGACATGAGTCCAAAGTTCTCACTATACACGACAGCACTGACTAATAAACGGCTTTGACTAAAGAAACATTAACTGCACTCAACATAGTAAAAATAAGTCGCGGTCCACAAAAAGGGCCATAATATCATATGGATTACTATTGGTTTGCCAAAAATGCTTTTGATATCGTTGACTAGCGCAAGCAAACAATGTTTATCATGTAAATAAAAGCAGTTTGCCCTTGTAAAATTTTGTGTATTAATGTTCCTGTTTTGTTTTTCGTTAAACTACCCCTTCTATAGTATAAAGACATTTTTCTTATCTTCACTCAGTTGTTGCGCATATCAAGAGGCATGATTTATCTTCTTGCAGTTTTAACGAACGACTAAAAGGTAAAGTACAACTAGTTGGATAATATAGAGTTTGGTCAGATGTATATAAAAAAAATGTTCTGCATAAGAAAGCAAGGAGATGGGAATCGAAAAAGAGCACTGAGAAATATAAAATTCTAAGGAATCAAAGCTGTTTTACTTTATTTCACTACAAGTAATCTGTCCCCAAGTAGGTAACGGATGAAAGGAGGAGCGAGGAGCCTTTGGAGCTGCACTATTTACCATCCATTCGGCACATCACTGGAACTATGGTTCTCATGCTTAATAGTTGTTCGAAATTTTCCATTCAGGTAGAAGTAGCTTTCAACTTCGAATGATTTTGTTTTTTGTACATTCATTGCTTTTGTAGTGCTTAAGCCAGACGTACAGATGTACCAAAATGGAACTTCAAAGAGTTTTAGCTCTGTTTCTTTCCGTCAGAGAAAAAAATCTCGTTGGAAGATATGGGAATAAATTTGAGTCTTCCGAAAATTTCTGATTTTTCTATACTTCTTCTCCCGGCCTCCACTGTCTCTTAAAATCTCTGCATATGTGCCCATATAGGCTGTTAGTGTGCAGCATGACACATTTCCACAATCCAGAAATATCTAATTTTTTAACCACTATACATCCTCGTTGTTTATTTTAAAAAGTAATCTTTGATTTCTCTTTCCATTTTTATCATACGAGTCTTTGAATCATCATCGTTCCCGGCTACAAAACATGGCGAATAACAATCAAAGTGAATACGATGAAATTCTTTCTAAATTCGCTGAATACAGAGAGCAAAATGTTCGCAAGCCTGTCGAACGTTACACGATTCATAATTGTATGTTGAAACAGCTCCTAGATAAAGATAGTTCCTTAACAGGAAAACGTGTTCTTGATCTGGCCTGTGGTCATGGCCATTATACACGTGAATTGAAAGCCTTAGGTTGTGCTTACATTCTCGGTGTCGATGAAAGCTCAACAATGATCGAAATCGCCCATAATAGTAAGTGGCATGATTCAGAAGGTATCGAATATATGGTTGCCGACGTGAAAAATTTGCCTCCACCGAAGTCACCATTTGATTTAGTGACTGCATTCTATCTATTTGACTATGCACAAACAAGAGATGAACTACTTACAATGGTTCGCGTTATTTATGCACAACTCGGTGAAAATAAGACCTTCATTGGCATCATAGGCAATGTAGTGGCAGGCAAAGCCATGTTTAACAACAGGAAGTATGGTATAACAAGAGAAACAAAAGCTTCCATGGATAGTGATTCATTGCCTGATGGCACCGAAATCATTGTCACGCTCTACAATGATCAAGACGTCGAAATGTGTAGCTTTACAAATTATCATTATTCTCCGGAAACCTATGAAAAAATATTTAAAGAAGTTGGCTTTAAAACATTTCAATGGGTTCCTTACCAATGTGATCCCGACGATCCTAATCGAACATTTTTCGATGATTTAATTCGTCGTGCTCCTTCGATTGGTATAATAGCAACAAAATAATAATCAAATATAGACTCTCAAATACTTTTCCTCAATTTTTTAATATGCTTGCCTATGCCAAATTGTTCTGTTATTAATTTATTCTAAAATCACAATGAAATCTACATCGATTTTATTTTCTTCTTTTCTTTTTTCTTGCTTATGACTGTTGCTATTTTTCTTTCCTATATAATCCGTATACAGTGCAGTAGTCAAAATCGCTGCGTCGCATTACATGGAGATACTGAGTAACAAATAAAATTTAGAGAAAACAAAATACAGAAGACAAAAATATGGTTCATTTTTTATTACAATGTGCATTGGAAGATGTGGGGTGTGAGTTTGGATTGTAGGTACGAGTGTGATGATGAGTAAAGAACGAGCTAGACGCGAGAGTGAGGATGCGACTTGGCTTGAAAACAAGATCCATAAGCATCTACATTCACACTCAACCATGAAGCGACGCTAAGACCGATATTTTATTTGCTCTCTCGAATAATAATAATATTATATTATGCTATTTTTATTTTGATTCCATCAGATCAATTATGGGAAGATTTCGTTTCTCCCAGGTCGATGATTCCAGCCTCCGAATCCCGCCGGAATCAAGCTATTCTGACAGATTTCCGCTCACCGGAAAACACCGGAAACCACGCCATATCCGCACGGAAGACAGCAGTAATTCGTAGGAGACAATAAAGGCGAACACCGTATCCTTCAGAAACTACAACGGAGACACATCGTATCCGGTCCTCACTGGTAGGACGTGATCTTACTCCAGAAAGATCTTTTAGGTTCCCGATCTCCTAAATTCCTTGATACAGTCCCAAAATTAATCTAAACACACAGGAAACGCCACCAAAGATCCTCAAAGATCTTTTTTTATTAACACAGCTGTTACAGTCTCAACAATGCATTAAAATCAAGGTAAAGTCTCAAAAAGATCTTTAAAGATCTTTTCCTATTAACACAACCGTTACAGTCCCAACAATACCTTAAAATTAAGGTAAAGTCTCAAAAAGATCTTTTTTATTAAAACAACTGTTACAATTCCAAAAATACCTTATAATGAAGTTAAAGTCTCAAAAATACCTTAAAATGAAGGTACAGCCTCAGAAAGATCTTCAAAGACGTTTCTCACTGAAATAGCTGTCACAGGCTCGAAAAAAATGCAGAATAGGTCACCTGGGAAAAAGAACAGCGAGTGGCTTTCCCGCGCACGACTCTTCTCTTCCCGTGTTGCTTACTGGTAATGGGACCTCGTAACTGTGCTGCTTATATGAACCTCGGTAAATTACTATCGGTATTGAAATAGATTGAAGCATGTGTGAACGCTAGTTTTGTTTATTGGATCAATGGAAGCTTTCTGTTCTTTGTTGTGTCCTACCAGAGCTGCCAACAGGCCAGTTTTTTCAGCCTGATCTGGCCTGGCCTGCAGGCCAAGCCAGGCGAATTAATTTTTCAGATTTTTTTATTATGAGAGCT